TGCGCAAAATTAAACCAGTTAGTAGTCATTATATTAGTTTAAATGCTTATACGCGTGAAACTCTATTCTAACTTTGCATGGCTCACTATAGCGGAGTAACTTTCATTAGTTGCCACGTAGAGTTTCAACTCCCGCTAGAGTTGCCAACATGCCGCAGCATTGATGTCAACATGCGGCAGATTACTAGTGCCTCTGGTAACCCTCTTGAAAAAGAAGTCGGTGAAAGTGTTTAATCTTTCACATCAACCTCTAATTCAGGGAAATTTGATTTCGAAGAAAGACAAGATGGAGCGCAAAAAGATTGCCGCTTACTTTCACATTTTGAAGTTATGGTTTTTGCAGATTTTAGTGAGTGATAGGTTTGTAACTTAATTGAGCATTAAACAGTGACAGAATTTTCTCAAAATTCTCCGTTGAAACGAAATTTTCTATTGATCGGCACCTACTAAGTTAAACGAGAAATGCATGTTTTAGAGTTTTTCGAATGCTGAATATTCGCGCTTTGTAGTTTTTCTTTCATATCAGTAACTCATCTTTTCTTCACCGTAATATTGAAAGTAATATTTTCATATTTTGAAATAAGATCACAACAATTACTGTTTAGGTTGTTTCTTCTTGGTTTTCCCGAATGTGGACCTCTTCATGCTTGCCATATCGCTGTTATGGTGCTATATACGCTTAGTATGTTAGTAGAAATGGTCTATTACGAAACGATCGAAGTCGTTACGCCAAACGTTGTTAGAATAGCTGTGCAAGGTACTTTATTCTTCTTCCTTTTCATCAGTATCGATTGTAAGAGATTTCTTTGCTTTTGGCTTACTCGTTTATGTTCAAACGGTTAATCTTGCCTAGTTTAGTGGTGACAATCATAGGATTTGCTGTAGTTCAGCGCTGGTTGTGTGCAACACCACAGATAGAGCCAGCACGAAGAAAAGGACGACTTTTTGCTAAACATTACATGGAAGGGAATCTTCTAAACCCTCCAGATACTGATGAAGTTAGGGAATTGAGAAAGAAGCAGTTGTAAGATATTTTATGTGGAAAG